TCTTTCAGTAATTGCTATACGGGAGCTTTCTCAGCTCGCAAGAAGCTGCCTATGTAGCAATCCCTTGATGCTCGTTGGGAGCCGTGTATCGATTTGGTTCCCCAAGAGGTTGTGAACTTGACACATTGGTGGTATGTGGAAGCTACAACTTTCATCACGAAGAGCTACGGTCTGCTGAAAATGGCATTTAATGGAGCTGGGCGATCTACGACCACAAAGTCGATTGTTTTTATGACCCTGCCGGCCTTAACTGGAAGCTGGATGGTTCCTAACGAGTAGGTGGTTTCTACCGCGAAGCCCGTGAGTGGAGTTCAATCGTTTGACAGCATGGACGTTTGGTATCCCATGTGTCTAAAAGCTTTGAAGAACAGCACGTCTACCGAGCTACCGGTAACGATCATGACCCTTGTGAGGTCGAAACCGCCTACAGCGATCTGGATGACGAGTGCGTCATCATGTGGTTTGCCTAGAGACAGCGTTTCGATTTCTAGAAAGCTTATTTGGTGGTCGGATCCGTCCAGGGGTAGGTTTACGGTGACAGACTCGACCTTGCGTTGATATGCCTTAATCGAGTTGATTGAGTCTCGGCACATCTTCGAGCCTCTGCAGATGAAGTCCATTTGCTTCATTGTGGGTAGCTCCCCCTCCCCACCGAACGAGTGAGCGATGCATGAGCTAGAGCTCGCTTGAGTTTGAGGTGTCGAGAGTTGGGTGATGCTCGGTTTTGACGAGCGTCTGAGTAGCTTTAACACGTGTCCCCCTGCGACTTTCTGGAGCCTAGTTAAGCCGAAGCTCGATGGTTTCCTAGGTGCGGGTGTCGGGTGATTACTGATTTCATTGATCCATCGCAAAGGTTTAGTTCTCTGAAAATCAGATCGATCCTTTTTCTCGCTGATGAAGGAGAGTCAGGGGTTTGGACTTCGACTTTGACTTTGCGATCTCGTTTTTGAGGTGCTTTGTCGGGGTCTACTTCCCTGTTTTGGGTCGACCTCTTTTTGGGCTTTTCACTTTTTCCCTCGGCCTTCTCGACTTTTTCCTTGGCGAGCTTTTTCGCAAGGATTCTGGCATGAGTTCGACATTCCTCGATGGAATGTCCATTTTTTTGTGGTGCTCGCAGTATTTGCTTTCGTCGAAGCTCGACTCCTTTTTAGGGGACGAGCTTTCTATAGTATATGAATGCTGACCTTTGCCCTGCGACTCCCTTTTGGGAGGTGGAATGTTAGCTTTCTTCGACCCGAAGGGTGCGAGATGGAGCTGTGAGTTACGGTATTTTGCTTCGCAGGCAGCCGTTTCATCCTTGAAGTTAGTGTATATAGAAGCGAAATGGAGCGCATCATCGAGTAAGTCCGTAGGTCGAAGCGTGAGCTCCGCCTTGAACCTCGACTGATACCAAAGGTTGGTTAAGGTTAGCAATTTTTGCTTTGATCGCTTTGAATTTGGCAATGTATGATCGAAGTGGTTCGTCTGAATTTTGGACTAGCTCCCCGAGGTCGGCTTTGGTTTCTCGTTTTTCGATGAAGATCAAATATTTCTTGAGGAAGGCTACTGCGAGCTCGTTGAAATTTGAGATCGAATTTTCTTCCAGCGTCGCGAACCATTCCTGGGCTGGTCCAACTAAATTTTCAGCGAAGAGCCTACAATATCCTGGTTCTTTTTTCTCTGGGGAGAAGTTAGCTCGGATAGCTGCGAGGTTGAAGAGTCGGATATGAGCTTTTGGGTCGCTGTTTCCAGCGTACTCTGGGACTCATACTTTAGTCGTGTTTCGGAGGTATGTGTTCATGATCGAGTAGGTGAATGGAGTCCGTTGGGTCTCGCAAATTACTCAATCGATCTCGGGAGCTGAGCTCATGGCTTGATGGAACATGGAGTTCATCTGTCGAATGGCATAGACGGTCTGGTTCTGGAACCTTTCAAAGGATTCGCAGTCGACTAGGTTTCTTGAGCCGACGCCGAGGTGGTTAGCCCGAGTCGGATCATTCGGAGTATGGGTTCCGAGCTGTTGGTGAAGGAACCCAACAGGTTGTTCGCGGATCCCGCTTGGAAGTCTCAAGCTCGAGGTCGTGTTCGGTTGTTGGCCGAACTGGGGTGGTATTTGCGAGCTCGAGACAAAAGCCAAGGATCCAAGCCATCTCTGTCGAGGTGGTTTGGTTCCAGGCGGTCTTAAAGGTGGAGATGGATATCTCGTGTTGGGACGGGGTCCCATTTCGGGTATTCTCGGTGTTGGTACAGGCGAAGATGGATATCTCGTCGCGGGACGAGGTCCCATCTCAGGTATTCTCGGAACCGGAATATCTGTGGTGATTGGTGTCTGGTTCGCCGTGGGGGTAAAGTTTGGTGGGTCTGGATCACGCAGAGGTGTCATGTATGGTCCGGGTGGATTGCTCAGTGCAGAGATCGACGAAAAGTTGAGCCGAGTTCACAGAGGTGGACTCACAGCGGATCGAGCTGCGGCTTGACGCCTTTAGTGTCTTTCTAGTCTGATCTCCTGATCTCGTTGTCGATCGATCAGATGTGTGAGCATTTGGAGTATCTCCGCCGACTCTGATGTGCTCCTAGAAGCTACGGGTATTGGCAGGGAAACAGGAGCTGCTCGGCTCAGTGATGCCGAAGCTGAGGTAGATTCTCATATCGCACCCAGGTTCGAGAGGGTGGCCTCTCGGCTGTTTGTGACTGGTTTCTCGTCGTACCCGGTGGGGTGACGAGGTTGATTACGATCGGTTTTACACGATTGGGAACGTTGGAGTTCGTGCCGGTGGTGTCGACGAGGGTCGTAATCCTAGGTTCGTTTCCGCCGGCTGTCTGGTTGACGTTGCCGGTCGGGGTAACTTGATCTGGAGAGATCAGAATTGGTGAGACGTTTCCCGAGGTTTGTTGAGTTGAATCCATTTCGGTTTCAGCTGGCTTAGGATCTGCTCTTGAGTAAGAGAAATCTATAGATATTTCCCCACAGACGGCGCCAAAATGTGGATACAGAAATCCACATTCAGAAATTTATGTGTTTTTGTAAGAAAAGAAACTTAGGAGATTAAGGGCTAGATTCTCTCGAACAGATTGACAATATAAGCTAGCACTAACTGAAATAAGGACTTAGTATTAATCGGTTGAATGAAACGGTTACAAAGATTTTGATGAAGAAGATGAACTGAAAAGAGCTCTAGGAGCGGTTACAGAGTTTTCGGGTGTAAAAAGTGTGTAGAAAATCAAGTCGAAGGTCATCCTGGCGAAGTGAGAGATCTCCCCAAAACTTGGCAGTTTGTGTCCATAGCTTCAACTTCCAGCGCGTATCTCGGCCACGTGCAGCAGCTCCAGCGGAAATCTCGGCCACGTGCAGCAGCTTCAGCCGGAAATCTAAGCCACGTGCAGCAGCTTCTCCCGGAAATCTCGAGCTTGTTTGAACTAGTGAGAATATGCTCTGACTTGGTCCAGATTCTTCGGGACGAGGTCGAGCTGGAGCTCGACCTCGACGAACAGAACACTGATTGTCAGATTTGGACCATCGTAAATGATTGGACATAGGCCGTATGGATGAGGCCTAGTCAACTGAACTTAGTTTTAGGATATTATTATTGGGCTTAAGTAGACCAGATTTGGGGTGACTAATCCTGCTCCAACAATATTGACATTTAACATCTATTATATTAAAAAAGAATCCACTTTAGAAGGCTAACATTTACTTCATATGTTATTTACTTAATATGCCATTGGACTTCTATTAGTTATATAAAAATTTATTAAATCTATTATTCTTATTAATTATCAAAGGCATAAATTTTTGTTACCTTTCTTATTATGGGCCTAATATTTTGTTATCCTTCTTATTAAAAAGATCCATTTTTGTTTAAAATTTTTGAACCACTTTATTTTCTTTGTTTTTAATTCGAAATTTATAAAAATGTATATAGAAAATGACAAAACAAAATTAAAAAATAATATTTTAGAGTCTAAATTTTATTCTACCGAAAAACCTTAAAAATATATTAGATCAATAATTATTTATATAATATTAATTATTTAATATAAAAAATTTTAATTTCAATTTTGTTTTGCTAAATTTGAAGAAAAAAAATAAAGAATAAGATTAGAAAGGAAAAAAAATAAAAAAAGAGAAGAAAAGAGAAAAAAACATAAAAAAATTGAAATTAAAAAACAAACAAAACAAATAAGCACAAAAAATTACAGAAAAAAGAACGAAAAAGGAAAATGAGGAAGAATAAAAAAAATAAAAAAATAATAGGAAAAAAGAGAAAATAAAATAGAAAATAAAATCATTAAAAATAAGAAGAGAGGAAGAATGAAAAAGAATAACGTACAAGAAGAACTTTAAAAAAAAAGATGAAGAAGAGAAAAAGAAGAAGAACATTAATAAAAATTTAGAAAAAGACAAAAAAAAACAAAAAAAATAATAATAAATAAGATAAGGAAGAAGAAAAATATTAATATATTATCTTTTTATTAAAAATCAAACACACTTTTATGATATAATTTTTTGACTAAAAACATAAATATGATTAACAAAAAGATAATTAATCATATTTTATAACATCTTAACATTATTTGTAGATTAACTATTTTGATTACAATGTTGTAAAACAATAAAATTATATTTTAAAATTATATTTATAAAACTAACATTTTAAAAATTAGATCCTTATTTATATCATGGAAGATTTTGAACAAATTATTTTGCATTTTATTTGAATTTCTATTCGTTAAAAAAAATTATGAAGTACAAAATACATAACATCACACTATCACAGTTTTCAAAAACCTTTAAATCCATCCACCTTTTTATCAATATACTCTAACTAAAAAAACTAGATATAATAGATACAAGAATCTATATAATTCTTATTTATTTAGGTAACCAATGAAGAATTTATATAATTCATATCCATTGATAGAAAGAGTTTCTTATGAAAATTCGATTTTACTCTTTATATTTATTTTAAAGAAACTTTGATTATGTGACTTTTATGAGCGAATTTATCCGAAAATAACAGTTTTTGGGAACAGCATTTATAATGAACTCTAAATCGAAGCTTGGACGACAATGGACAGACTCGTGTAAAGGTACCACAATTTTTTGGAGTGGTTTATAATCCTTTCATTATTGAGTATTTCTTCAAAATGAAAAGCTCTTAGATTTTGTGTTCTTGACGAACAAAGAAAAAAAAAGAGAAACAAACAAAAAAGTCAATTTTTTATTTTGTTTATCATAGAGATTCTTGATTAAGAGCTAACTGATGATAATTCATGTAATCAATCCCATTTAACCGGACGCAACACAGAATCTGCTCCGGTAACTCCTCCGGTTTATTTCCCTGAAATCAAATTTGACAATTTGCAGTTAAAATAACCATAACAAAATGCCAAACTCCCTCAAAGAAACAAAAATTTGCAGAAGAGTACCTGAATTGTAAGTCCAACATCAAGAACACAGTGCTTGAGTCTATCTAAAAACGCTTCGAACCCTTTCCTCGATATATAACTGAATCTATGCATATCGATATCAATCTCAAAGTAATTTTCACCCTAAAAGATCAAAATTTCAGAGTTAGTTAGCAAATCATTCTATTGCAGGTTTCAAAACGATTTGCATTTGCGTTGACATACCGAATAAAACTCGTGTTGTGGACGCGAAAGCACAGGCTTCTCATTATAAGCATTCATGAGTTTCTTCTCTGCACCATTCAATTGAAGATCGTCTACATTCGCTACACGGCCCAATATCTTTAACCGCTCTCTAAACGGCACATTTGCATCCATAGCAAAGCCTCTAACTTTCTCAACCTCATCATCTAATAATCTCTGCAAGAAAATCCAAAGACAACGCTCTGTTATTTCAAGAGACAGAGCACAGAGCAACAAGAAACAGCATCAAGAGGTGAAAGACTAGATTTTTTTACCCGAATGCTTTCTTGGAAATGAAGTGGAAGCTCTTTTGAATAATTATCCGAAAGTTTAAAGTATAAAACAAAATTCATTCCTTCTCCATCTGTTTCACCTTGAAAGATTGCAGCTGGATACAATGGAATCTAAGACGATTCCCACAGCAACACCAAGATTAAACGAAGAACACCAGAAAACTAAAGCAAACGAAGAACGATTCTACGATTCGACCATTGAAATAGAAAAGAAGCTTCACACAAACCTGAACATTTACAACAAGAATCGATGGGAGCTTTGTTGAGGAGGTATTAACAACAGGAAGCTCCACAAATTGCGCTATATGGTTAACTTTACGTTGTGATAAGAATACATCGACACCGAAGGGGTTATATGCAGCATAGTTTGGTGCAAACTCTTTCTTCTTTTCTCTACAGAAGAATCAGTTTTGAGTTAGTAACAAAAGATGTAATATAGTATTCGTAACAAGAAGCTCTCTTCGTATGTTTTTTTACCTGAAGTAAGTTTTCCCGCGAACACGGAAACTACTTGGCTCAATGATTGACCAACAATCAAACATTTTCTTTTCTAGTGGACAAAAAGGAACTTGAGTGCCGGCAATAGGTCTCTGCAACTGCGTTTTCATCGAAACTGAAACATTGTAGAGAGAACAAAAAGTCAGTTCTTGGTTTAAAATCTCTAAATGAAACCACGATTGGTACTTACATAAAGGACCTGTCGCATGTCCTTCTCTCCACTTGAAAGATAGTTTAAGCGCGGCTTTCTTCCTTGTGCTCGGAGGGCTAGAGCTTAAAGACCTTCTCTTTTCGATCGAAGGAACAGTCGAATGAAGACAAGGCAAGCAATTGCTCGGAAGAATCCCACAGCTTTCCAACAATCCTTCGTCTTTTCTTGAGCTATCATCGACATTTGAAGATATCTCGTCGATGAAAACAGGCTGCTTAGTGTTGTCAGTCAAGGCACTCTCTGATTTTGATTGTGAGATGACCTCATCTACGCTTAGAGAGTTTCGAGCAGAACCTTCATGGTTAGAGTCTCTAACAGATGACATACTCGATACTGAGATACGCTCAGCTCCGTTTACTGACAACATATCTGAAACACAAAAAACCATGAAAGCAGAGTGAGATGTAATCCTATGACGAATCAAAATGGGTGTTTAAAGAAGGTTCTTTTACCTTCCACACTGTGAAAATCATCATCACAATCGGTTTCAAAGGCCAGGTTGGAATCAAACCATGCTTCATCAACGCTTGCTGTTGAATAAAACAGAAAGACAAGGTCAGGTATGTGACACAAGTGTGAGAGTTTATAGAACAAACACATGAATGTTGGTTTCTTAGTTTGGTGCTCACAAGATAACACCAGAACTATTTCTCTTCCTCACAGCTTAATGCTCATCAAAGACTAACTATTTAGAGAAAAATATTCACTTTTTGATCAAAATTCTCAAATATAGATCAGAAATTGTTAGCCGTCTAACAGACTAAGTCAGAATCGAATCCCCAATATCCAAGCAACAAATGAATCAAGAAACACAACAATCTAATCGATCAAAAGCTAAAATGAACAAGATAGGCAAGAGAGAGTCATATCCTACGAAGCCAAATCGATTATTAAACGTGAATCAATAGAATGCAGAGCGTAGAAAAGAAGAAAACCCAGAAGAGAGATTTGAGACCTCGGAAGGTGGGATTGGAGAAGGAACGATCGTGATTGTCGAAAGATCCGTCAGATAAGCGAGAAGAAGACACAACTCTCTTCTTCTGAATCTTTCGTCTTGTCCGAGTCTTTCTCCTCTTGCCTGACCTTAATTTCCCTCCCACGCAGCTCTTAGGCGTTGACACGCAACCTCCCATCTCTCTTTTTCTCTCTCTCCTCTGATCACAGCAAAATCAACATAAGATCCCCAAAATACTCTCTCAAGCGTGTAAAACCCAGAGCTTTTAGAGAGAGAAAGCTGTCTCCTTTTTTCTCTCTCCTCTCTCTCTCTCTCTCTGATCAGAAATCAGATAGAATCTGCCAAACACGATCCTCAAATCCACTAATAAGGAAAACCCAGAAATTTTAGAGAGAAATGTGGTTCCTTTTTCACGAGAAGAGAGAGAAGAATGGGACACAGACAACTAGACAAACAATTTGGTGAAGAAGAAGAAGAAGAAAATAAGCTTCTTTTTTCTTCACTTCCAAACAATAATCAGTAAATAGAAGAAGAGGAAGAAGAAAAAGTTGGTAAAATCTTTATTTGGTTATTTATGGGGATTAGAAAGTCAAATAAATTTGGAAAATCTCTCAAAATGACAAGTTGTTAATATCCCGGTGCGTTAACGGCATCTTCTAAAGAAATTATGGTCACTTATTTAGATTTTCGATTGAAACAACACACTGGATTTTCTTATTTATCGTTTTGTACTAATCTGTAATTAGTATACACTACAATGCTTATTCGGGATTTATCTAATACTTCATGTGATGGATGGTGATAAGGTATATATATTATGATGGTAAAGTTTGTTTATTTGACATGAACATCAGAACATGGTTATGCCAAATGGTTGAAACTTGAAAGATTAATCTTTTATCTGAATCGGTTGTGCTATCAGAATCGAATTCGAACACGTTTATTAATATTCGAACAGAGAATTCGGTTCACAGAAACAAATATTATCATGAATTACAATTAGTTGGTTTAGTCACATGAGAGTTTCGGTTTAGCTTAATTAATTTGTGAAAGGTCTAGTTTTTTTGGTACAAGTTAATATTGGGCTTATTATGAATATGTAAGCAATTTTTCTTTATTTTGAAAAGAAAAAAATTATCTTTCACAAATCTGCCAAGTTGTTTTTTCTCCCAAGTGATCAACACAACAATAACCCATAAGTCTCTTCATGGCTTAACATATCAGCATTTTCAAGCTTTTTGAAGATGACACTTCGGCAAAAAAAAACACCAGTAAAAACATTTCATTAATACAAGTCATCAATTTATTTTAACTTTTAAATTTAAACCCACTAAAAACTCAAATATTTTTTATTGTTAATTTTAGTTTAATTTTTTAGTCAAGCCCAAACCCAAATAATAAATAACAGCAAATAAAAAAATTATTTTATTTTTTTAACAAACCCAAATAATAAATAACAACAAATAATAAAATTAAATATTTATTTTATATTTTTGCCAAAACAAAACTCAAATAATAAATAACAGGAAAAATAATAAAAAAATTTTAACTATGTGTTTGCTTGATAGAGATATATATGATTAAAGAAAGTGTAGACTCATCATCAACTATGCTTCTATAACAACAATGCAAAAAGCTTTATGTTATAAGAAGCTCACACATCAGAAAAAATTTGAACCAATAAAAACATAACAATAATACATATTATTAACACATTAATAAAATTAATTTACTATTTTGCTGACCCATTAAAAAGCCCAATGTTTACAAAAAAAATGGAAGGCGAAAGCAAATGAGGAGAAACTCAGACCACCACAGCTTGGAGATTCGCATTTCCACTGGTTACCGAGAACAAATTTTCTTGGGTTTGGCGGAAATAGATAATTTCTTGGTTTTGGTAGAAAAATGTGATTTTCAGTTTTGGTAGGAAAACATAGTTTCTCGGCTATGGCGAAAAAAAGCAAATTCTCGGGTTTGGTGGCAAAATGTGAATTTTAGGTTTTAGTGAGAAATAAAAAAATTGATTTTGACGAGAAAATGTGAGGAAAATGCAACTTTTCAATTTTGACGAAAAATACGATTTCTCGGTTTTGATAGAAAATGCAATTTTTTGGCTTTTGATGGATAATGTAATTTCTTGATTTTTGTAGAAAATTATAATTTGACAATTTTAGCAGAAAATGCAATTTCTCGGGTTGATAGAAAAGCAAAATTTCTCGATTTTGGCAGGAATACAATTTCTTGGTTTGATGGAAAATGCAAATTTTCAGTTTTGACATATAATTTGATTTTTGGTTTTTGAGGGAAAATATGATTTCTTAGTTTTCGTGGGAAACGCAATTTCTCAGAAGATAATGTAATTTTTGGTTTTTGCAGAAAATTGTAGTTTATCGGTTTTGGTAGGAAGGCGTGATTCTTGATTTGACAAAAAAAATATTTTTTTCTTGTTTTGGTGGGAATAGACGATTTCTCGATTTTTGCGGGAAAAATTTTTTTTTTGGTTTTGAAGGAAAAATACTATTTTTTTGTTTTTGCAGGAAGATGAAATTTTTTGGTTTTGGTGAAAAAACTTGATTTCTCTGTTTTGACGGAAAAACACAGGTTCTCGCGGGAAAATGTGATTTTTTTTTGTTTTTGAGGGAAAATGCAATTTTTTTGTTTTGGTAGGAAAATGAAATTTCAGGTTTGAGAAAAAAATGAATTTTTTTTGGTTTTGGCGGGAATAGGCGATTCTCAGTTTCGTGGGAAATAATTTTTTTTGTTTTGTTAGAAAATGTAATTTCTCGGTTTTTATAAAAAGATAAAATTTCTCTGTGCTAAATTTTCAAGTTATAATATGTTTATAGTAACCAAAATTGAATTATTTAACTTCAACTAAATTGATATTTCAACAGTTCAAATAGAACTTTCTATTTAGTTCTAAAGTAATACTAATGATTTTGATATGAATATTATTGATTATAGTTTGGTAGTTTTAGAAAAACATATGTCTATAATAAATATTTGATAAATAAATAAATTTTATAATTTAAAATAATCATATTAATTAATATTTTTTAAAATGATAATTTGTTTTATATAAGTTCGAAGGAGGATCAAGTAGCAATTTAGTAGAGAAAATAAATTACATCTACCATTAGCTTGAAGATACTTAAAAATGTATTGTTTTATTCTTACATGTACATTTATAAATAGTTAGCTAAATAAATTTGATAGTGGATTATAATTTTAAAAAATAAAAAACTTAATGATGTATAATGTTTATTCAGATTTAAAACATATAGATACATAACTTAAGCTAATAAAAAATAAATATAATACTTATTTAAAATATATAAATAATTTTATTATATTAAAAATATATACAAATCTAGAAAAATATCCCCCAGCATAGCTTGGGTAAATACCTAGTTCCATTACTAATAAGTGAAAGAGTTTGATGGCTTGTTCGCCATTACAGAATGCAGGATTTAATTTGGTAAGATTAGTAGAAATAATGGCATTATAAATATTAAAGAAAGTGTTAGTTTTGCAATATTATTTGCGATTCCTTATTCTCTACCACAGCTTTGACGTCTTTGATCTGAGATTAGTTTTGTAATTGCCATGTTCTCGGCGACGACCATATAGTTTTTTGCTAAATGTTCTCGGCTACGACCATATAGTTGTGAATCCCTTTCCATATAAAAGTTCTGCAACTTTATACGCATCTTTGTTTTCCAAATCTTTGGATATACTGTATGTTTCAATCTTGAAATATTTATTGTTCAAGTTGACTGCATATGAATATGATGATATCTTTCATTCAAAATGAGATATATCAAATTTAATAATTGATTATGTATTAATATGTAGATACATACTCAACCATGAGATTAGGATAATAAAAACACGATATTGTTGTTTTTATAGTTTTCTTGTTTAGTTGAAATTCGATTATAAACAGCAGCTATATAGTCTATTATCAAACTTTAATAACCAAACGCTATGTATATTTTCCCTTGGTAAAGCTTTTTTTTAATTATTATTATCTGAAGATTTCATTAAAATAAAAGGAGAAATTGGGTTTTGTGCAAATTAACCAGTGAACTTATTTTTTTTTTTCCAAAATCAATCCTCAAGTAATTTCGGTGCAAGTCAATTCTATCACCAATAAAGTCACTCGCAATATTGGACATGCGTATATCGTCGACGTCGACAACACCTGCAAGTGTTAGAAAAGAAACGAAATGATAAAACGACATCATTATAGCTTAAATAAAGGATATGATGTTTTGGTGTTTGCTGCCGTTTTGAGATTTACAAAATGGCAAAATCTGCGAATAACTTAGCTCAAAAGAGGAAAAATCGATTTGGGGGGGAAATATTAGGGTTTGAGGAAAATGAATTGAAAGATAAGGAGATTGTCAAAATCGATTTGGGAGAGAGAGATTGCATCGAAATAGGGGAGCTTGATGCTTCTCGATCTGGGTTTTGTGTGAAGAGGAGTTGAAATTGGCAAAAAAGGGTGAAGAAGAACGATGAGCTTCGATCTGTTCTTCAACGCCGGCGGCTACTGGGCTCGTGATGGATCTTATCTTGGAGGGATCCTCATAAAGGTGGGACACACGTCTGTGAAGGATTCAATATGAAGAAGGTGTTGATGCTTTTGGTTGATTTTATCGGTTATGAAGACAACATGAGCAAGATTTCTTAGTTTCCACCTGAAACCACGGAGAGAGAAGATATAGAGGACGATGAGACAATGCAGAAGGTGGCCCATTATGGTATTGCCGCATGTGCGTTAACTCTTTTTGTTGTTAGAAGTGATGATCCGTTTATTGAGCAAGGGATGGTTCAATATCAGCGACTTGATGAGGAGGATGTTGAACAAAATATGGATGCTAATAATGCTGATGGTGATAATGCTCATGATGATAGTGCTGATGAAAATGTAGAGGATGAGGATGGTATTCCTAATGTCTATGCTGAGGTTGATGACTATAACAGTGAGGGTGAGGATGATGGTAGGATGGATGTCGATGATAGCAAGTATAAGAAGTTTGAGATAGGTCAACAATACAGAACTATCGACAGCTTTAAAAAGGCTTTGACTAAGTAGGCTGTGAAGAAGAAGAAGAACATTAGGTACAAAAAGACAGATAGCAAGCGTGTTCTGGCAGTTTGTGCTCAAAAGGATTGTCCTTGGAGGATATATGCATCTATCAACAGCAGCTCCCCTAGGGTGGTTGTTAGATCGCTTTAAGAAGAGCACAATTGCACTTTGTGTGGGAAGGTGAGTCTGCTTACAAATGCAAGAATAGCTGAGTTGTACATTGAAGAATTAAGAGAGAATCCAAACATTTCAGGAATGCAACTGCAGAACAAGCTCCTCAGACGCAACATCAATGTACCTTGGACGATTTGTGAGAGGATAAGATGCTTGCAGGCTTTTGACAGAGAGCAAGAAGCGCAATTTGGTAGGCTCCATGACTATGTTTACGAGTTGAAGAGATCAAATTCTGGATCTACAGTTGAATGTGAGGTACGGGAATTAAAGTTAGATTTTATGTATGCTTTGCTGCTTTGAAAGACGGATGGAAAGCTGCTTGCAGAAGAATAATTCATCTTGATGGTACTATCCTGAAATGGAGAATGGACAGTATGTTGTTAGTGGCTTGTGGTAGAGATCTGAATGATCAAATGTTTCCGATCGCTTGGGGCATTGTTGATGTCGAGAGTAAGGATAACTGGTTATGGTTTTTTTAGCATCTCATTGATGACTTAGCCTTGGGATCAGGGAATGGGCTGACTTTAACGAGTGATCAGCAGAAGGGTTTGATTGGAGCTGTGAAAATTCTGCTGCCATATGCTGAACACAGGATGTGTGCCAGACATGTTCACGCTTGCTGGAAGAAGAAACACTCGGGAAGTGAGCTGGTTGACTTATTTTGGGATGCTGCAGACTCATATTATCCATTAGCATTTGAAAGGAAAATGAAAGAGTTAGAGGAGTATGACCCGGTTGCACATGCTGATTTAAAGATAAACATTTGAGTTCCATGGACAAGGTAAGTCTGAATTGTACTTCTGTTATGCTGAGAAACATTTCCGTGCTTAATGCTGTTTTATATGTGATTGCAGGGCTTATTTCTCTGGGTATTCCAAATGTGATGCCGTGTAAAATAATTTGGGTGAGTCTTTCAATGCAGCTATTAGGATAGCTAGAACAAAGCCCATAGTGGAGATGCTTGAGATGATCAGAACGAGTGTTATGGTGTCGTGTGACAAGAAACGATTAGAAGCTGAGAAATCAAAATCAGATTTCAGTCCAAGAGCAATTGCTTTACTTGATCAGCAGATTGACTTGACGAAATATTGTATGCCTCTTTCTTGTGGACTTGGAAAGTATGAAGTAACCTATAGAAATACTGAGAGGTATATTGTTCATCTTAGAAATGAGGTGGATTGCAGCTGCAGGTTATTTCTTGTCAGTGGTATACCTTGTTCCCACATTTTGTTCTGCGCTTAGGCTAGAGAAAAATGCAGATCAAAATCCTAGGACCTTGATTAGCAGTTGGTATTCGAATGAGAACCTTAAGAGATGCTATGAGAGTCCTATGGATCCTGTCAAAGGAATGAATTTGTTGAAGATAACCACTGATGAGATGGTTAGACCGCCTTTCTTTAAGAGTCCAGGAGGCAGACTACCAGGGAAGAAGCGAAAGAAAGAGAAGGGTGAGAAAGAAGCACCAGGAGTGGGTAAAAGAGGGATCAAAATTGTAAGTTTCTTATTTCTTGATGAGAATGCTTTGTGATTAATAATGTTGTTTCTTATTATTGTGGAATTGTTTCTTGCTTCCAGCACTGTGGCAACTGTGGTGAAGAAGGCCACAACAAGACCAGATGTAAAAATGCTGAAAAACCAAAGCCTCCAAAAAAGCCTCCTGGTAGGCCGCGTGTGAGACCTATTGCAGATTCTTCTCAACAACCTGGATCTCTAGCTGTTTCAGCTTCGGCTTGGGATTCTGCTGAACCTGCTTCTTTATCCCAGGCCTTGGGGTGAGGCTGAAGGTAGGTCTTTCTCTCAGCCTGCTGAAGGTGAGTCTTTATCTCAGCCTGCTGAAGATCTTCTAAGTTTGTCCTCTGCATTGCCGAAAAGGAAGCCAGGCAGGCCACGCAAGTATCCACACAAGGGAGCCTCATCTTCTCAGCCTTCTAGTGAAACAATCAAGCCACAGAAGGGAGCCTCGTCTTCTCAGCCTACATATGACAGAGGGCCAACTACCATCCCACGAGTAAGTATACAAAAACTAGTTGGTAACACATGGTTTGATTATGTATGGTACACTAACACTTGTTTTCAATGTATGAGGGTTATGGTATATTCACAAGTCCTGGTGATGACTACATTCAGGTTGGTAGGTCTGTGATCGACGCTAGGGATAACACAATTCTACCTAGCACACTCTACAATGCAAGAGAACGAAAGAAGCTTGATGTAGCTCGTGGTTGTGGCCGTGGCCGTGCTAGTGGGTCATTGCAGCCGTGAAGACTTGTTCGCATTTGTTTCTTGAACTTGTTTTGTGTTTGAAGCCATGGAGGATTTTCACTTTTGTGTTCTTGAACTTGTTATATGTTTGGAGTTTGAACCTTATTCATTTTTTTGTTCTTGAACTTGTTATGTGTTTGAAGTTTGAACCTTATTCACTTTTGTGTTCTGAATTTGCAATGTGTGAACCTTTGTTTTTATGTGTCTATTTTATTTAGTTGCGACTTTCTTCTTCATTACACAGAACACCATAAAGATAACAAAAGATTCATACAAACAACAACACACTTACTTCTGGATGATACATTTGGTTTCGAGTTACAAACAACAACACACTTAATTCATGATGATATATTTAGTTTTGAGTTACAATAACAACAACGCACTTGATTCAAGTTCTAACTATGCCCAAAAGTAATAGCAACTAGCGATGACAACAGCTCCACACATAATACTCTTTAGGAAAAGTATATCTCTTACCATGTTCTTAACTTCTATCTCACATCCTTGTATTTTGGTTTTCATTGACTCTGTGTTCTTCTCACATTGAAGAACTATGTTCTTCATGTGTCTCATATCCTTCTCAAAGCAATTAACCACGTCTTCCAAAGTTCTTGTCTCAAGTTCTAAATTCTCTACCGTTTCTTTCATGTCTTCAATCTCCTCTACCATTGACTCATCTGTCCATTTAAACAAATGGTAGTTGTCCTTGCACAACATAAGAAGACATAATCATGTTACTCTTTCACATCACATTACTAAGAAGACAACTCCGAAAATCAGATTAAATGTTTACCTTCACCGATCCTTTTGGGAAACAATAAAATAGTCTTCTCGGATTTCGAGCAGTTCCTGAAGTTCTTATCAAAGTAGGTTCTCCACATCTACAAGAATTGGGCATTCCACGAACACCACGACTCACACTTGAACCTGCAATATTCAGATTGATAATGTTATAAGAGAAAGTAAAGATCCAATTGAAAAATGAAGCATTTCGATTAACACTTTCAATGAATTATACATGAATTCACCGACGGAGACTGTCGATTCGACGAGGTGACCATTCTCAGACACCCTAGCTCTCTAAATTCCCCTAATTTTTCTGTGTTCAGCTCGACGAAGCAGCCGATATATATGTTTAATTTTTTTTCTCTTTTCAACTAAACAAAACAAAACGGTGCCATCTTCCTTATTTTAGTTTTCAAAAATTATGGTTTGATTTGATTTGATTTGGTTTAGTTTGGTTTTGTATGATTTTTCATCTCAATATATTTCACAAACAACAATTGAACCCCATATAATTTCACAATATAGCTGTGAACTTCAAACTTCAAGTTTTTACAAACAACAACAATAACAAGACTCCACCACCCTTTTCCGAAAATAAAAATAAAAGGGTGGTGAGGTTAAGTTTATAGAAATTTGGTGGGAGAATTCTACTTAATAAGCAAAACCATGAAGGTTACAAGGGCCACACCAATAGCTATCATAATGAGATTCTTCGTCTCCTTCATAGCCAAACTTTTCCTTTCAACTTCACCACTTACATCACGACTCTGGAGCTCCTCCACCACCATCCTCATGTATTCATACTTCTCTCTAGCTTGTTGGGCAGCTTGTTGGGCAAGAACATGGAGACGGACAACTTCATCACGACTGCGGTTAACATTCGCCCACATCATACGGTGATCCACAAGGTCCCCTTTTTCATCACGGGTGATTAAACGAAGCCTATCTTCGAGCTCTTCTTTATCCATCTTTATTTCTCTTAAATCCTCCATGACCGCCTCTTCCCACCACTTCCAGAAAGTACAGCCACCAACCTGGATAGTCATATATAACAATCTAAATTGGCAAGACACATTCACAATGCACATTCACGTTTTATCACTTACATCTGCTTTCTCGCAAGCGTAGTACCTCCTTCCCACACTGTCAGGCAAGTCAGAGGTGAGAAGGATTGGGTTCTTCCCACAATAACAGTTCTGAGGTATCCCTATTTTTCTGCTCACTCGATCATCGGACCGCACACTTGCTCCATCAGAAGAACTTCAACTGTAACTATACTGACCCATCTTCTTCATAGACAATTCAAAAACAATCCATAAGTCTTTAGTTTAGTGTAGATACTCTGTTCAGGACACTCATCTCGAACTCATAATTGCCATCGAACGAAGGAAAAATACATGATAACCACGATTCCTAAACTCTGTTATCTAAAGCAATAGATAATGGATAAGAAATGTACCTTTATTGCTGAATTGCGATACGACGTCAACGAATCCTCTAAATCGCCTCTAAGTCGGATGAACCCTAGATTTCAATTTGGGGAAAACACATATATGAGAAATGCAGTCGTGTTGTATAGCACTCTATTGTGAAAACATCATGCCGTTTATTTAAGCTATAACGGCATTGTTTTATCATTCCATCTTTTTTCTAACACTTCCAGATGTTGTCGACGTCGACGATATACGCATGTCCAATATTGCAAATGACTTTGTTAGTGATAGGATTGACTTGCACCAAAATTACTTGAGGGTTGATTTTGCAAAAAACAATAAGTTCACTGGTTAATTTACACAAAACCCGGCGAAATACATTGCAGGATACATTTATGAGATACAAAAATGAAAATCAAGGAAAAATAACTCAAAGAAACCGAGATTAAAAACAAACACTCTCTTCGTAAAGCAAGCATATCTTTTTTTTAAAAAAAAATTTAACAACACTTTTAACCTCACACAAGGTGGAACTCAAAGCACCACCATTAATAAAAAAAACATTTGGGTCCTTAAACAAAAGAAATATTATTGTTTTAATAAAATATAATTATATGATTAAATTTTGGTTTGAAAACAGAATTATATCAATGAAGATGAAATATATATATATATATATGAAGGTTTTAAGAGTATTTAAAGGTATGTTAAATAAGATATCCATTTCATTTCTTTTATCTATTTTTAAAATTTTTAATATTATTTTTATATTGAGATATTTTTTGAAAACTTTTTGGTGAAAATGCTTTCAAAAACTTGAACCAAAATGCATCCAAAAAAATAGGTGGTGGACAAGCCATATATGAAAAATATATATATGTTTGGGAGTAATTCGAAATGCTATGTGGGGATATGTTATTTGTCTGGGGAGTAAAGTTGTGTCTCAAAGTTTCGTCTTCTGGAGGGAATGGCGACAAGACATTCTGGAGTGGAAGCTCGTTCGGGCCCCATCGACAAGTTAGCAGACAAGTCTGGCCCTGCAAACACTACAAAAAAGGTCAATCGAGCTTCTAGGAAGACCGAAAGGGGGTTTTCCTCCCGAAAATTCTCCAACGCCCAAGTCAATGAATGCCCTACCGGGAACAAGTACTTAGGAGGGTGTTTTTTTACGGGCTTGGGGTAAGAAGTCTCGTCCGGAGATCGAAACGTCTATCTGTTTACAAGTGTTTCGAGGGGGTTCTATATCAAAAAGAGAAGGTTTAACAAGTATAAAGGCAGGGTTC